ACGACTTTGCCGCCAAGTTTTAGCAGTGGCATGTCCCAGAATCAATGGGTCAAATGTTTATGCCAAGTTGTAGAGATCGTCACCGTTTGTCCAATAAACTTTAAAATTTGCAGTATATAACGACATTACAAAAACTCAAGGGGGTCCTATGGCCGCTCCCACCCCCTTCTCCCAAGCAAAAATGTATTTCATCAGCAAGCGAATCTGGTGTAAAGAGACCTTAAAAAACAAATATAATTTACTTGCTAACTACTCGATGCGACAAATATTAATAAACTAGTTATAGCTATCGGTAAGTGCCAACGAGCAAAGATTTTACCTATAAGCGCGCGCTGTTCAGTTTGTTAAGAAAGGTCACGAATTACCGTAATTTACAAAAAATAGTTTGAACTCAATTCAATTGCATAAGGGAAAATTAGCTTGAAAATAGTGAAAACACTGTTCTACTGCATAAAGATTTTGAAATCCCAACCTTACATGGCATATTTTTCGAGGTATAGAATTTCGTGTCTTTGTCCAAAGTTGCACACCGGTCATTTTGCGCAAAATTTAGTTAGCGAACTTTGAATCCTCGAAAAATCATAAATTCACAAATATTTACCGTACAGATTTATATTAATTTTGGTCTCTTTTTATAGCTTAAGAAGTCTACTTTTCAGAAAATAAAAAGATTTATGGTGCACCGATGAAGCCTTCGAATTATTTGTCTTCAAGGACATTGACAGTAATTTTTCCAGGGTTATATATTTTTTTTCTAGCGCGTAAACAGCCAGTGTCTTTGCGAAAATTAGTTTAAACTGAATTAAGTCGATTGCATAAGCGAAAATTACCTAAAAAAAATAGTTATTAGAACTAGACTGTTAAACTTCATAAACAATCTGAAGTCCAGACTTTATGTAGCATATTTTTCGAGGTATTGAAGTTCGTGTTTTTGTCCAAAGTTGCGCAAAGGGCATTTTGGGCAAAATTTAGTGGTCTTAAATGCGAACTTGGAATCTTCGAAAACCATTGGTGGTGAAGCCTTCCGAACTACTTTGCTTTAAGGACACAATCAATTTTACGGCGTTATTACTTTTTCTCAGCGGTATAAACAGACGGTGTATTTGGGTAAAATATTTTGAACTCAGTTCGATGACATGACCAATAAAAAGCCTAACAGCCTTGGAATAAAGATATATGGAAAATATCAATGAATCAAGAAATTCGATAAGCACTTATATCCAATGCTTTACACATCATATGCTATTAAAAAAATATACAAGAATTTTGCATGACTATTCCTTTTGATTGAATTAGTCAAAATGAGTCAAAAAAGAGAAAAATTAAAAATAAAAACACTCACTTTTGAACATAAAAACAACTTTTTATAAAAAATAAAAAAAGGAACATCAAAAGTCGCTCTTTGTTAGCTTTAAATGCTCACCCCGTCGATCTCATTTTAAGCGTTTCGCAGCTTGCAGCATGACTCGAAGTATCGTTAAGCTTTTTTCCTTCCCTGGTTTTTACGTATAAGTACCTATTTTGCTTTAATTTACTACAAAGTCTGGAGTAGTGGAACACAAAGTGTCCGAAATTCATTCCACTACTTCAAGAAGATTTAATTATAATTATATATTTGAATTGTTAATTCCACTTTTGGATGTTTAATTGAGTTGCCTTCAAGGTTAGGTAACTTAACTAAAGAAGGTTTGCAAACCAAATTTTGAAGATGACGTAAAATGCTTACCATCAGTGCAACCAAAGGCAACTGGGAATAAAAACAGAGACAGACCAAAGGCACAAATTTGGAGACAAACGTCCATGCTCGGCATTATCCCTACTATATCTTACCTCAGTGGTTCAGAAACTAACAACGTGCGCCTAAAACGGGAAAATATTGAAAGCAGGATGACCCTATCACGTTTCTCTCGGCTTCAAATAGAGAACTTTGTCATGACAGCTTTCAGTATTCAACCATTAAGAACATACGGACAGCAAACAATATTTCTACGGGTAGCTGTTGCAAAATTTCAATATCCCTGTTTTAATGGACTAATCGCTTGTTATTGTTTTGGTACCAATTTTTATTGAACACGTTTTAAGAAGAGATAACCAAATTCTTAACTGAATTCGATTTGAAGAAAGTGACATCATTTCGTAACATTTCCACGAAAGTGACGAGAAACTGATATAGATTCCTTAGTCCTGTGGGGCTCGCTCAGCAGTAGACTCTTGCACCCACTCCCAGTAATTCACCATGCATAAATTTTTCTGCCTTACGGGAAAGTAGATAGTAGTTTTTCTCTCTTTTAAATTTATAAGGATTTACATATCCTCTGTATTTGGAAGTGTAAGAGCACCAAAAAGAGATAAATGTGATACAAAACTGCCTCACGCAAATGAAGCACCCTCAGTATGTTAACTTTAAGTGCAGTTTAGCAAATATCGCAGCCGGCAGCATTAGGGGTTTGTTTGTCTTGTCTGTTTACCTTACTCTACTTCCCTGTTAAACAAAATGTTTCCCCGAGGTTTCACTTAGAACATGGAGCTACTTAAAACTGTAGGTAATAAAAACGGTCAGTTTTGAAGTTAATTGAAAGTATGCTGTGTAGAAGCAGAAGCATATGCTTCTGTTAGAAGTTAATGATCCAGGGGAGAGCCACACTAATTGTTGGAAATATGATTCTCACAAAACAGATACGTTTAGATCTACCAACTACGACCTTTTTTGTACAGATTAATGATCACGGAAAGTGGGAAGCAAGTTTTCAAATCAGTATCAAGGCACAGGAACTAGTTTTAACTTTTGGTTCGCGAAACGGTAAATTTAATGAAGGAGTAAATAAATTCTGCACTACACGTTCCTGTTTGGCTAATGTTTACCATGTGGTTGGCTCATTTTGGGTAAACTGAGTCAATTCAATTAAACCTTTCCAGCAAAAAGCCTGATTCTGAATATTATATTGATTCTCAATATATAGGCATTTGACATTTATCCACCTGCTGTTAACGTACTCCCTTGCTTTATAAGAATATAAGACTAGTATAACTGGCCATTTTATATTTATTATTATTATTATTATTATTATTATTATTGTTTTTGTTGTTGTTGTTGCTGTTATTGTTATATTTTTATTTTTTCTAAGGGCTGGGATGACTTGGAAAATAATTAAAACTAGAAGGCGGATGATTAATTTTAAAATCGAAATATCGGTACTATAGGAATAGTGAACTAACTAAGCTCAAGTACAGGGATAAGGGGTAACCAAACATCCCTCCACCTAAATGTTGCAGACTTAAAACTTAATTATATCTTGCGGTTTTGGAGCAACAAAGAGAAAGTTGAGCTGATTCGAATGGAGGCTAATAACCAAATGGTGCATGTAAATACATATTTATAGACAATTTCAGCGGGTATAATTAAGAAATTACATTAAAAATCCATCCTTATTTAACGCGATGCTCAACTTAACTGTTAATAAAATACGTTGAAGGATTTTCCTTGTCTATCGGTAAACTCTCAGTTATATAGTACAAAGTAACCTGATTTTATGATTCCGAATAAGAGAATGAAATCACGTCACGCTTTTGGTAAAAAATATATGTCAAAAAGGAAAGAAAGGAAAAGAAAAGAGAATGACCCTGTTTTATTCTGTAGATTTCAGGGGATATTGACTGGGGGGACTGAACAAAATTTCACACGGGGGAGGGGGGTGGGGGGCTCCGCCCCGAGGTGCAACCCCTAACCCTTTTATACACCAGTTTTGACAGAAGAAGTACCCCTTTCGAATCACATCTTGTTAATATAACAAATGATACACCCTTCACGTACACAGAGTTGCCTTGTCTTTTTCACAGCTATAAAATACACCTTTTAGGTCCTTCCGCAGACCGCAATAATAGATTTCCCTACCATATTTTATAAATCAACTAGTGAAACCCCTACCCTTTCATATACAGGAATCCTGAAAAAAGTACCCCTTTGGGCATTAAAAAAAAAAAAAACAGTCCACTTTTAATCTAGGGTGTCTACTGCAATCTTGATTCTCGGAATTTGCAGTTTCCAATATTTTGTGACGGACAAAGTAATCTGAAAGATTTATAATTAGCTTGTCCTTGCTTTCCTTGCATTTTTTTTTGTTTTTTTTCACATTGCCTTTTTTTACACAGCTACAGTCGTTGCTCTTTTCAGTTTCTAAGTCCTGGTTATGGGCTAAGCATTGCTAAGTCTAATAAAATAGTCCCAAGTATCAATCAATAGGCAGAAAGTTATTGGGTCTTGGTTTGGGTGAGGTGATTAAACTGATTCCTTGGTTGTCATGGTGATTTTGCTAACCAGTTGGCGCGAATGTAGAAAATCTTGTAAGTCCCCCATACCAGTCAGCAAAACCTACAAACCTGAAAATAAAAGTACTTTTGAGCTTTTAATCAACGTTTAGTTCTTATTATTGACCTTATTCGAATTTTATACTTCGATCACGATAATCTACAGAACGAAGCTACTATTTTCGAGGAAACAATGCTTTAAAATGGCTCTAAAAATAAACTGATCAGTGAAAACACCGTGATATTGGTCTACCGATATCGAAGTTGCTCGCTCCTGTTTTTACGTTAGTCGCGGGAAGGAGACTCTTTTTCCGCCCTGCTTTCTATCTTCAAGACTTTCGTGTCATTTCTTAGAGGGATTTTGCCAATCATTTTAGCTTGCATTGTTTCCTTCGCTGTTTGTTTTGTTTTTTCTTCCCACCCAGCATAACTTTTCCAGGGCTGCAAAGACTCGAAAACGAGTGTTGGGATTCCTGTGGTTTAAAGGGGAATGGGTCTGAGAGGGTCGACACCTTAGAGGGCCGAAAGGGACTGGTGAGCACTGCGTTTAAAAATGGCGGACGATGTAGGGTGATGACTACCTCTATGTTGTTCGCCTCCAATTTCTTCATATATGGCATCCCAAAGCCTTACAACGTTTAAGAACAATTATTTAATGCGACGAGTGAACGTCTGGCTATTTCTGAGTGCCCCTAGCATCAAACAGCCCGTCTGTAACTCGTTTTATTCGCTATGGCGCGTCAAGAGGTGTTACATCGACTCTTGTACTGCATCCACTGGACCTGATAAAAATTAGGTTTCAAGGTAAGATACTAGGAATAACTTGGTTGTGTGTAACGTGCAAATGCTTAAGCAATAGAAAACGTTTTCCGTGTTTGCATAGCCTGATATAAACACGAGAGGGGTTGGGAGAATTCGAGACAGTTATACAAACCCGAGACGAAGTAAGTGTCGAGAATTCTCCCGATCCCTCGAGTGTTTATATCAGGCTCTGCAAACACAGGAAAAAAGTTTTCTATTACTTTTATAAAATAACTCTCCCGAGAAAAAACGCAAACTCTTTGTTACGGTCCTGATTAAAAGAGAAATTCTTACCAGTCGCAAAGTCTTATACACGAAGTCTTGCACGCGTAATCAGTTCTTGTTTTGCAAAAAGATGCTTTCCAAAATACGGATTTTTCTAGCTTAAAATGTCAGCTTAAGCGAAAAAAAATTGACACACCTTCTTTGTAACGATTTTCCAAGTTTCAGCCGACGAAGGAATGGGTAAATAAAGTAAACTTGTCGAGTTTTGAACTTGAAAACTTTTTCAAATTTGTGCTTGCATGATTAGTGCGCGAAAAGCAAAACATCTTGACGCCACAACCATGTTTACATACTCTCATGCAAACACTCCTCTCGGCCAATTAGAGCACGTTTACTATCTTACTTATTTTATAAATTGCCATGTTAAATGTAATGCTATATGCAACTAGCTGTGTGGCGTGAATGTCAAAACTATAGCATGAAATAAATCAGAAAGCAAAAAAGGCTAATAAGGTTCGGATGCTTCTTCATGTATATTTAAGAGGTACACATATTTATTTGTCCAAAAAGGTCAACTTCAGTTGGATTTTGCCTTTCCTCATGATTAAAAAGATAAGCTGGACTCTTCTTTCAGATGAAAAATCAAGTCCTAACGATGGCCATTTTTAGAGTTTCCTCAATAAGATTCGTAATTCTGCCATTGCAGTAATTATCTTCATTAATCTTATTTTCCTGACAATGGTTATTAACTAATCCCCGTCCGAAATTACATACAAAAACGGCCTTATAGGAGTTCCAGACTTCCTCATATTAGGAGATTCAGTCAATCATACATGTAAATGTAGTGGGATAAAAAGGCGGTACACTGCATCATCAAAATAGGTGTGTAATAGAGTCAAGAAAAATGTGGTAAATGATGAGCTTGATGTACATTTTATCAGCTCTCTCCAGGGGTAGGATCCTGGGCAAACCAGGGGAAAACTGATGGCTTCAGCAGAGGATGGGTTGGATTGTCTGTCCTAAGGGACAGACCATCAGAAAAATTATGGGGGTGGGGAATTTTTGAGTGGCAGAAATTTTTTTCATTATCAAATTCCTTGTATGAATTTTTTTAGGCCGTAGCATGAATATTTTTTAGGGTTAATTGGCATGCATGAATTTTTTTTCATTTGATTCCCCTTATGCAAATATATTTTTTTTGTACTTAGCTCCCCCCCTCTAATTGTCCATCCCTAAGTGTGGGAGAAATTCAAGACATTACTTTTTGGTTTGAATGAAGTGATGGAGGAAATTGACATAATGATAATACAGGTCATATAAGTAGACCCTGGCCTGCGTGAATCTGTCTGCAGGTTTTCTTTTATTGCACTGTTTTTTAAAATATTAAGTAATAATTGACCGACGTACCTTCGGGAGCAGTTTCATAGAAGCTCTGAAATTCATGACTATAATTTGAGTGGTTCTAACTATGATCTCCAACTACACTACCTAAAACAAATTTTCTCAAGCGTTCATTTTCTTATCGGGGTGCAATGGCTTGGAACCAACTGTCAAATGAAATACATGATATGGGGGATCTTACTAGCTTTAAACTCGCCATATCTTAGGATATAACTTTTTATTATGTTTTTATCTTATTTCTTTAATACTCATTTCTTGCTGTTCTATTGTATTGTTAGTTAATCACTAGTCTTAATTTTTATAAATTGTAATTATCCAACGGCATGTCTGAAAAGCAGCTTGCTGAGCCATTTACCGTGTTTAAATAAAGTTGATTGATTGTTTGATTGATTGAACTGAAAAATATTATATTGCTTCCCCAAGCATAAAATAAATAAGTCAAATTTGATCGCCAACTATTATAGCTTACGTAGGTGGAGGGACCAAAGTTTAAAAGTGCTTCTTGATGTCCCTGCAAGTGGCTTTTGGCCATTCTTCTTATAGTTTTATAGCCTAATAACCACAGGTTTTTTTATAACTGTCATGAGTACAAAATCGCACCAGCTACACAGGCATAAAAAGGTTCTCTCTCAATCTAAAGAAACCCATTTATCAGGTGGTTATCATGGGGTTTTTCATTGAGGAGCACTTGAGCATTGGAGGCAATTTTATTCTCGAATTTGTTCCACCCATTTTTCAATCCGCCTCACTGACACGAGGTCCTATCCTACAGTGAAACCTGTATTAAGCATACACCGTATTAAGCACACACCCTCTATTAAGCGGACAGTAGCCAAAGTCCCAAAATTTATTTCCCTTATTTACTTTAAATGAAATCTTTATTAAGCAGACACCTCTATTAAGCGGACGCGGACACCTAAAAGTACCTGAAATAGTCATTTCTATTGTTACTAACCTGTATTAAACGGACACTTGTAATCAAATTCCACTACCCAACATGCCAGACACCGGAAATGCGAAAGATTACTTCGAATTGCCACCCAATACTTTTTTGATTTTTACATTAAAAAATGTGACTTGACGAACTTATTTGATTAGTTTCACAGTACAGTATTGTTTTCTATTTCGTTTTGTTTGTATAGAGCTTGTTTCACTCATCTGATTTCTTCAAATTTAAGTTGCAATCTATGTTTATGGTACTATGACCAATCGGTCCACTTTGATAAAGAAATTAATGCAAACATATATCGTCAAAGTCTCTGGGAGAATTCTTAACATTTCCACTGTTCATTTACATGGCATTTGACATCTCATATGACGTTATCTATCGAAACCTGTATTAGGCGGACACCCTGTATTAAGCGGACGCTATAGCATTCCCCGAGGGTATCCGCTTAATACAGGTTTCACTGTACTTGCAAGCTGATGACATGACTCTGTATAATGATGAGTTAGAAAATAGAAAATTGATAGGCTATTGTAGAAAAGAGAAGAGGAAAACAGACCTCGTATTTCTGCTGATCAGTTTTATTAGAATTATGTTTAGTATTTCTTTCAAGAGTTAAGAAGAACTGGTTCCAATGTAGGGGTCTTTTTACATCTTGCTCATATGGTAAAGCACTGTTGCACTATACATGTAAATAGAGTGGTCATGGGTTCAAATTCCATTGAAGCCTTGAAATTTATAGGCTTAATTAGCAATTGTTATTTGCATTATTAAGAAAAACACCTTATAAAAGCATGCCTTACATAATTTTGTTAATGCATCTAGTTTCACACAATAGCTTTATTTAATATTATATGAATGTTTTTGTTATTAATTACAGTGTAATGATGGCAGTGGGAAGTTGCCAGCGTACAGAGGTCTAGTTGATGCAGTGCAGTCCATTGTCAGAACAGGGGGTTTAAAGGGGTTATACCAGGTTAGTACATTTGGAGCATACTTAACCCTCAGTTTAGTGATTGTTTGGTCGTTTTTGTGCCTGATAGAGCAATGCAATCTTCCAGTTTAAAAGATTAAGTTAGTAAGCTTAGCAGTGTCTTCAGACAGGACAGGTCTACCTCATTTTGGGAACAATCCTTCCATAGAACTTTATGCACAAAGCTGCACATACTTTGGGTACTAGAAATCCACTTATTATTACACCATTCACCTACTACTTTTTCCAGATAAGATTTCTCCTGTCACAGCATTTTCTCATTTCTTTTCTCCCAGTAGCTTAAAGCCTGGCTCAGTTTAAAAAAAATAAAATAAATAAAATAGCTAGAAATAAAAAAAAAGACCAAAAAATTAAAGGAATGAGTACAAGTTCCTTTTTTTTTTTTTTTTTTTTTTATTTCAGGGTGTGACACCAAAAGTATGGGGTAGTTAGTCTACATGGGGACTGTACTTTTTGAGGTAAGTTATTACAACAGCGAACAAAACAATATTTTGTATAGAATTCATATTTTAAACCTTCATTAGAATTCATGTATTTAAATACATATTGCTGGGAATAGCTGTAGAACAGCTATGAAGGTTCCTTTCTTTCTATTTTCTTCTCTCCTATCTGTTTGAGTTCCTACTGCTGCTATTTTCTTCTCTCCTAGGAAATTAGTACATTAATATTTTGTACATTTTGTGTACAGCCAAACCTCTCCACAATGGCCACCTTGGGGACAGAAGAAAGTGGACCTTGTTGAGAGGTGGCCGTTATGGGGAGGAAGGATTTGTAATATGACAATTTTTTTTGAGGCAGCACAACATGTTTACAGTGTTATGTTCATGCTCACTGTTCCATAATGATAATGGTAATCCAGTCATATATAACATAAAGTATAGCGATAGAAATATACAACAAAAAATTGAAAAAAATTTTGAATGAAAATGTTAACGAGACAAAACCGCAAGGTTCGCAGCATTTGCTTAAGTACGTTTGTATCATAGCTATTAATATGCTTACGGCAGCAGTATAAATGGGGCATGTTTAAAACTCGAAATGGCAAAATGACTAAAAGTATTTACAAATAATACATATTTTTCTTTGATCGGTTTGTCTCCCGACTATTCGGTCGGTGGAGTTACCACGCGCATTCTTGACCCGAGCTCTACACCATTGCGCAGCCATAAGATTTGAAGGCTTGTTGTCACGCGTGGTGTACGCACGCAAGCTCATCATACGCGCCGAAAATAGCTCTTCTGTGCGGAAATTAACTGCAGTGTCATCAGAGACGCCGAGGTGGCAGAGCGTATTACAAAGAAAAGCTACCGTCAACTTTAACGTACGTGAGGATGAAGAAGTATAAGTCCAAAGTCAAAAATTGCTAATAGTTCTACAAATAAACAGGGTATATAATTTCGTGTGTGTGAGTCTATCCTAAATATAAACAGGGTGTTGCCTGATCTGATTTGCTTAATGAAATTTATTTGGAAACAAAAGCAATAACTGTAACGTGAAATTTGCTCTATTGCAATTGCCAATAAATGGCTTTAAAACAAGACGCCGTACAAAAACTGACAAAATCGAGAAGTCCCTGGGGAGAGGAGAGATCCTTAGTACTAGAAAGAACAAGTGACTGCGATAACTGCGATGGCACAACAAGGTTTGTGAGGTCTTGCATCAGCATGCTGAGCAGAGTTTTGCCGGTTCATGAAAGGCAAAGACATAACAACTGGACACGACAAATTAATAGCGGAAGTCATTTGTTTTTACTCTTTAGGAAAGTCATTTCGCCATTTCGCTATTTCGTCATTTCGTTTTTTAAACACGCCCGTGTAAATGAAACACAATCAAAATATGGTTGCCGCGATTTATCATCAAAGTGCCGTATGGATCAACTTTTATGACCATTCTTGACTTTTTTATCAGTCGCTAAAATATAGAAGTATGTTAAGAGTATCATGGACGGAACATAAAACCAATGAAGAAGTTTTAAAGATGGCAAATACAACAAGGTCATCATTACCAATAATAAAGGAAAGAAAATGCCAGTATTTTGGACACGTAATAAGAGCGAGGTCGATCAGGCTAAACATCGGGTCCGGTATCCTCAGTTAAAGACTTAGGCATTACACTGGACTCAATACCCCAATTTTAATGATCATGTATACACGTTAACATCGTCTCTCCTGTCCACGTTATATCAGATTAGTAGGGTGAGGCACCTATTTACTAAACCTGTCTTGTCAACTGTTTTGAATTCTCTTATTTTTAGTAAACCTTTTTACTGTTCCACCGTCTGGGCAGGCACCTCTAAGCAAAATCTACAGAAGTTACAATATCATCAGTGCAAAACTTCGCCGCCCGCGTATTAACAGGTACTAAAAAGTTTGATCACATCTCGCCTGTTCTTCGGGAATTAGGGTGGCCCTCCATCAAAGATCAGCTATTAGTCCTTAATACTACGCAACAAATACAAAACAAAATTAAACAAAATTGTTAATAGCCTCGCTCCGTTGTACTTGCGTAGTAAACTCTGTAGGCGATCAGACGCACACAACTACAACACGAGGAAAAAGAGACAATCTAAATCTCCCTCTGTGCAAAGCAGTTACTGCACAACGGTCATTTTACTATCGCTCTCTAAGTGCCTCGAACTCTCTGACCGCAGACACTAGAAACAGCCCATTCACTATGTACCTTTAAGAGGGGCGTCAAACGCGAATTGCGGGAGCAGATCCCGTACGTTAAATAGTTAATATTTGATTTAGTTTAGATCTCCAAAGAGATGACGTAATTGTACGCGCATAGTTTAGGCTTTTAGTTTTGTACCAAGATTGTAATCAATTTACGCTTTTTCTTCTTATCCCCTTCTTTTTTAGCATTTGTAAATTCACTTCAGAATAACTCTTTGGGAGAGTTAATAAATTTTTTTGTATTGCATTGTATTATAAAACAGGAATCAAGTTGAAACCAAACTCCTCTGCCCCCTTACACAGTGTCATCCCTAATTGTCTGTCTGTGATGATTTATACACAGGGCTGAGAGGATTGGGTGACACCCAGTATCCATCTTATAAGTTAAGTTGATGTATTTTCCTCCCTTTCAGGAACTGGAACACTAACAGTGACAAATCCAATATGGGTTATCAAGACTCGCCTGTGTCTTCAGTACACTGGTTCACCAGCTGACGTTACTCAAGCACCGCAATACAAAGGGATAATTGGTAAGAAAGAAGAAAACTTGGCCAACTTAACTTTCGCGAAGACTTAAGGGACTGTTACCAGGGAAGGGAAAAAACTGGCGAATAGCTGACTGGTGCGTCCCCAGTAACAATCCCAGAAACAATTGCGGGACGCATTTCGGCTCCCGTTCTCTTGTCGTTTCTAAAGTGGTGAATGGGCAAACCGGCCGGTTTACGGATTGGGTAAATGGTATGAAAAATCAGGTCTAGTAAATTTCATTCCGGAATAGGGTTTACCATTTGTTTTACAAATCAGTTCCATTTACCGAAAAACGGCCGTGAAGGCCTGAAACTGGTATCAAAGATACGTTTTAACAAATGTAACACAAATGTTCGTTTCGAATATTTCGTCCGGAAAAACAGGACCACCTTTTCAGATGTTCCGTTGCTCCCGGAAATTTTCCAATAAAGGGACACGGAAAGCCCTTTTTCATTTACTTGTTGTAGTGGTAAAATAACGAGTTCCTCCTATTACAGTTATTTGTCTGACACAATGTCTGTGTGACCTTCATTTAGGGAACCATAGATCATACATGTATTTGTGTTTATTATAAAATCATTTCCTAATTCTTACTTTTTAGATGCCCTTTTTAAACTTTGGAGACACGAGGGACTCCGAGGATTATACAAATTAAGTTTGCCAGGCTAAGTAATGTTGCTTGACATAAACGGCGTCCTCAGTATTACGACATTTACGCAATCACGGTGATTAGGGCATCAAGAACGTTTAGAAACAATCATAGGTTTTATGGCGGAAAAAGCAACAACTCTGCACAGTTTCTTGAACATTTCTTTGCCGCCACCGCATGACTACGACGTGAAAATTGCCTAATTTCACGTTTTGTTGGGGCCATAAACGAGCGATGACGAATTTCTTTTTTTTGTCGGATAGCGCTATCCACCAGATAAATCATTATCCAGTAAATGAGTGTGAGGAAAACTAATTACGCCATCTAGTAGGTAAGGATTTTTCCGGTGGATATCGTTATCAACCTTTTGAGCAACTAGAGCCTGATTCAGTGCAAATGGTGCAAATCACAAAATTAGCTCACTTGAAATGTTTAACCGCGATGGAATGTCAGCTACATATACTCTGTATTTTGTTCAATAGGGTTACGTCCCCGGACTGTTTGGTGTGTCACATGGTGCTCTCCAGTTCATGGCTTATGAAGAACTTAAGAAAGGCTACAGCCATTACTTCGGTACACCAATCAATAAAAAATTGGTAAGTTAACAAGTCAGTCTTAAGTGGTTGTTCACCGACATTGATCATCACTTAAGTTTCGTTCACGAGCAAAGGTGTACACTTGTCAGTACAGGAACTATAGAGCTTCATTATCACAATAGGATGTGATTGTATGGTTACTAAGCATACTGTTTTTGCATTCTCTGCTTGAGAGGGTATTTCTGTTTGTTGCTGCTCATTTTAAGAATGTGAAGATTTCGCAGTTTGCTAGGAAAAGTGATACCGACCTAAGTTGAACTGCTTAGAATGTAAGGCTTTTGAATATGTTATGTTTCTTTCTATCACTCGCCTCTTAAAAGCTGACGTGTGGCAGGGCAAATTACGTATTTTGGTCTGAGGTAGGGTTAGGCTTTCAGGAAGTATGCTGCACACCCCCACCGTAATTTTCAGAAGAACACCCCTCCCCTCCCCCGCTGGACCAGTGCCTTTGTTTTCCGTAAAAGGCGCATCATCACGAGAAAAATTGTGGAGGTTCACTTGCTGATGTATATGATACATGTAATCTTTGAACACCAAGAAAATGATTTCGTAGAAATTCATTCTCCAACTACAGCTGTAAGCCACGAACAAAGCACAATTAATGATTTCTAATTGATTTTCCTCAAATAGCACTGCTAAGTTTTAAAACATTGGTCCCCTCTTTACCAACCAGTCAACTTAAAAGATTCCTAAATATTGACTCTGGCATATGCCTTGATAGGCTACCAGCAGTCTCTCTCTGCCTGAATTAATGGAGCTGTTCACTTATAGTAACAGGTCATTGAATAGGAAGAAAACTGTTAAAGCCCTTCTTCAAGGTGTGAGCAAACCATAGTCAATGGTTTTTGGGCCCTGTCAAACAAGAAACATCAGCCCAGCCTTTTGAAATTCTCCTTCCATCTCGACGTATTTTTAGCTTAAGACACACCCGTTAGGGAACTTTGTGTTTATACGAGAAGGTGGGCTGACCCGTTTGTCGAGATCTCGGCTCGAGCAACCGGGATCTCGGCCTCGTCCTCTCATATGTATTTAGCTTAACAGTTAGCTAATTGGGGGCACTTTCCTACGTGCTGGCACACTAATCTATGACATGACTTTTAAGTTAATGATCTTACCTAAAATCTAAAACTATATACAAATGTCCACGACTCAAAATTTACACAGGTCACCGCAATTACTATTATCATCTATATGGCTCGAAAGGTCCACACCGCGTATATGTTTCTTAAATGCTTTGAGGCTTGTCAACTTTCTGAGCTCACTACTGACCTTTGACGAAATGAAAGGTCATTGGTAGCGCAGGGAATGCCTCCCATAGGCCACTATATCAAATCGGGGTAGTTCAAAATCACAGTTTCTTAGGCTTTGGTGTGTTCTTTTGATCGTAAATAACTCAGATACACACCTGTGAGCCATCCTGTATTTCATTTTATACATTAGTATTGCAATGTCTTGCAAACGCCTGTTACAAGGCGTAGGCAGCTTGGCGCGATTGAGGAGTTCCTCGTATGCCTCAGTTTGAGATTTATATACTGTGCGCAGCGCACGCTCTTGGATGCGCTCGATTTTTCTGCTATCAGGTGATTTGCAGATTTTCCATACTGAATGAGAGTGAGTTAAGTATGGCAAAACAGACGTCTTGTATAACATTAACTTCGCGTTACAAGGTATTAAGTTTCGCAGACGTACAAACATTCCTACTTTCTGACTAGCTCTCATACATAACTCGCTAATATGACCCGCAAAGTTAAGATTCTCGTCAATGTAGACTCCTAGTAATTTCATTTGCTCTGTTTTCCTGATGTCATAATTATCAATGTTCAAAGTTTTGTCGTCATTCTCTGCATCGATATTCCTGGGATTGACAGTTAAGGACTGGAACGTCTACCGATTAGCAAGATGAAAGTTGTTTTTATATCAAGACTACGCTAAAACAGACCCTTAGTATGCATTGTTTCCTCCTCCTTCTAGAATTCAACAGAGTACTTGATAATGGCATCATTATCAAAGATCTTCGCTGCCACGGCCACGTATCCGTATCAAGTAGTCAGATCAAGACTTCAGGTAAACAGACCTCCTACTTTTTATCTCTTAGTGTAAGGTTATGTCCACAAGATTAATTCCAACAGGCGCTTTTCAGCTAGTGATTCACGTGGTACAAAACCGCCATGCAGGAGAGTAAGGGACACACTGAGACAAGACAAGCAAAAGGTTCACTAGACTTTCTCAAAGCCCGTTTCCGGTATCTGCTTGTTTGGTGGTCAGTTGGCGCTCGCCTTGCGATTTCTCTTTCGCTCGCCTCGCGCAGTGGACTTGTGTCAAGTCTAAATGCTCACGCCATTTAAAATCGTAATTCCCTTTGTTTGTCTTCTCCCAGTGCGATTCTTGCTCTCCAGCATTACGTTTTTTTTTATTATTATTATCATTACTTGAATGGCTAGCTGCAAAGGGCCTATTAAGATATGAACGCATACAAACTTACAGCTGTTTTTCCCTAGAGACGAAGTCTGGGTTGAAGTCGTAAGAGCAGTCTTTAAAACGCTTACAACCCATCAAAACTTGGAGTCGTAAGCAGAGTCAAAAGCGCGAGGGAGTTGTAATCAGGACAATACCGTTTTGTTCCGACTCTACCTACTATGACAGCGGCATGCCCAGCCACCCATTGTATCCTACTCTTGCCAAAACAAAAGAAAGCTCTGTGCGCCTGCGAGTTCCAAGGAGCCAACTCCATATGGGTTACTACCCAGCGCTTTAAAAATAGTTTCATCAATACGCTCTTTATTAAAAACAACATAGCAATCTAATGTTAAGTTGTTGTTGTTGTTGTTTTTTTTTTCTTTTTTTAATGCTTATGTTAATATCGTATACAGAATTTAAAGGTTTGTACTCTTTGGGCTTTTTAATTGATTTTAAATTTTGCAAAATGTAAGTTATATATTAGTTTAGCTTGAATGTATTTTGGCTTTAAAAAATAATTGAGACTACAGACTTTTAAAATACACTCCCCCCCCGATCTAATGCGAGAAACCAGATTGTCCGAAGATTTTAAAATCTTTGAAATGCGCTTTGATTCACCTTGAAACGGCTAGTTGTGGAGCAACTGTCAAGAAAAAGTTCATCCAAGTAATTTTTTTAAATACAAAGTAAAAAAATTTCAGTTCAAGCTGTTATTCATCAGAGCTCATTTCCTTTATCGCAATGTTTTTTTGGTTTGTTTTGTTTTGTTTTGTAGAATCAATACACGATGGCCAAATACAATGGAGCAGTGGACGTTATCCGTAAAACGTTCAGGTGAGATGAGGGACCCGCTGCGTCGATTTTATTTTTTGTTGAAAGGAGTTTTTGAAAGTGAAATTTTCCAGCGCTACAAGATTTATACCTTAAACAGTCGCCTTCTGACATTAGCTTTTTTGTCGACTTTATAGGTACGAAGGAGTGAGAGGATTTTATAAAGGATTGGTTCCTAATGTTCTCAGGTGAGATCCCCAACAAAAGAGCTCCTAGGTTTTACCCGTCTGGATGACAGTGAGTAATTGGCAGGCCCTAGTTATTCAAAAGGTAGATAACGCTATCCACTGCATAAATCTCTATCCAGCGCATAACGCAGTTGGTATCCATAATACGTATCCACTGGATAGTGAATTATCAGGTGGATTATGCTATAGAACATTTAATCAACCGGGGCCAGAATTGTAATGTAGATGTCGCGGATAAAAGGACAACGGCACCTGTCCTCTTTAACAGTAAGCTCGGTCTTCACACGTGAAAGATCAGTACAGTTATTAACGCAACTGTGCGTGAAAAATCCAAAAAACAGAAAACAAAAACAAGAACAAACCCGGAAGGCAGCATAAGAGGACGTCTATTGGTCCAATCATGAGCTTATTGTTATCCTCCCAGCCCGTGCTATGTATGATTAGTGAAACAAAAGAGGCGGTAGACCACACCACCTGGGAAACATTTCCTATTCTTTTTCAACAATAGTGGCAGTTGGTTGTTGTACAACACTATGCGAAAGTAATGATGTGAAACTTCACCGAAATTCGTCAAAATTCACGAATTTCGAGAGGGGATATCGGTAAAATTTCGGTGCATCTATTGTCGGCGAAATTTCGCGCAATGAGACGAAATGGGACGAAAATTCGGCTCTAAACGAAGGTTCAGTACTGTTTGTCCACTTTTGCTGAACTATTAATGAGAGGAAGGATGAAGGAAGTAAGGCCAAAGGCTTAAAAATAATGACAATAATTTAAGAATTTATAACGCGCAGATATCTATGTGACTATAATCAAATCCGCGATATTAACGCCACTTCCCGATCGTCTGGTCTCGGGCAAGGTCTTAAACAGACAGTAGAGTGGCATTTTCTTTTGATAATGAACTCTGTTCTGTGACCGGCCGGGATTCAAACCAGGGCCTCCCACATGCTGCATACCAACTGCTTTATTTGGCTGAAATAAGGCTCATACGAGAAACAGACAAACCAGCCAACACACAAAAATAGGCATGGAAAGTTGAAATGATAATAGAAAATGATAACTGTAGTTTGACCTGGTTATAATGGTCACCCTCGACTGGTACTTAAGATACTTGCCGCCTAATGAAGGTGGTCGCTCAATAAAAGATCACAAAAATTGCCCACTGGGTTTGGCCGTCGAAACGGAACTAATTGATAGTCTTCATAGAAGAACACTTCATTCAATTCTTCATTCTATCAAACTATAAAGCAATCAACGTCCTTTCAGGCGAACTATACCAGGGCGACCCTGATCTGTATTGATTTTTCACTTTCTATTCATTCAACAAAGTTGCTGACTTGTAACCGTAACGGGGAAATAAACTCACCTTTATGTTAAAGCACCATCCGTTATTCTGCCGGCCAACCAGACAGTGTTTGTGAGTCCTGACGCTCAAACCGAAATGTCTCATTCATTCATTATTTTCTTACGTTTATGTGTGGCCGCTAGTGAATACAGGCAAAAATAACAAGAAGGGCAAAACATGGGCTGCAAAGGGGTGGCTGAGGTCGCTTAATAAAGGTGGCCACTTGTTAAAGATGACGATTACAATGTTTGTACTGTATGCAGGGAAGTTCGGAGCTTTGAAAACAGCTCTCTAATACAGTTAAAACGAACAACTAGACAAAACGTATAGGAACAGCACATGAAAAAACAAACAAACATAGTAAAAGGCACGAGACAAACGTTGTTTGTGATTGGGTTTGTTTGTTTTTGTTTTTACAGAGTGACTCCAGCGTGTGCTCTGACTTTCGTGGTATACGAAAACGTCATCCATTTTCTTATGCCGTCCAGCTAACTTGAAAAGACCAATGACTGATATATTCTGCTGCTTGACACGTCTCTCTCCTGTTTACACCCTCATCAATATTTTTTAAGGTGGAACTGGGTTTCCTGTGTTCAGTATTGAAAGAATTTCAAACGTGTGGCGTTTCTTCAGCAACAGACGTAGCACAGCTTGATACATGTATATTAGAGAATATAAGAGGCTACTCCAGTTTTGTGCCGCCCTCCCATCCCCCAACGAGCTGCGCGAGGTTTTGCTAAACACGTATTTTTAGTTCTTCTCCTGTAACGCCTGCATGTCGTGGCGAACATGCGGGCACGCGCTCTTGCAAAACAGAAGATCGATATATTTGTTTGTAAGTTTTATGGTAACGTAGCAAAAAAAGGACTCTTCCACACCAATTCGCTCTGATAAAACCTTAGCTTTCCTTAACTTTCGCTGGGATAAACCCATCAAGAGTTCTGTGTCTTTACTTGCCTTTTAGGGCATTCTTGGACCTGCATATCGTTTGCGAGCAAGCTCTTTCGGGGATGCGGGGGCGGGGGAGGGAAAAGGGGAGGGAGAGCTTGCACTTACGTCCCATAAATTTGAAGTCCGCCCCAAGAACTCCCTATGGCTCCTCTGTTGTTGAGCTGTCAAAAATTGACCAATCAGATCTTCCCCTTTTCCCCCCCCCCCCCCCCGGAGAGCTTGCTCGCGGGCTACCCTGCATACAAAGCGTTCGTCTGTCCCATCTAAAAAGGTGTCACAAGCTCTGACGTCAGCGTTTTTGAGAACCCTCTTATTTGCCCGTCCACACTAAAACGATTAGCTTTCGATTTTTAAAAGACTCCTTTTTCGATAGCGTTTTCCTAAACGTTCGTTTGATCGCTTCAGTGTGTGAAGGCAAGGCCAAAACGCGTAAAATATCTACCTTGTCAAACGAAACGCATTAAAGTGGAACCTCCATATATCGAAGGGCTAAGGGACTGACAAACGAAGTTTCGTTATTTTTCATTAGTATTCTACTCTTGTCTCGAGGACGTCGTTTTGTAGTAGTTCCTTAAATTGAGGTTCCTCTGTATTATTCTTAGGGTCCGTAAGACGAACTGAAAGATATAGAGTTACAGTTGAAAGTTGCAGCATGGTCATTGCTTTGAAAGTATGTCGATACTCCCCGATAAAAGACAGTGACATTGCTGTGGAGTTTTATCTCAAGTAGAATAAAATAAAGTTATCAGTTGAATACTGATTTATGTATAATTATATATAAAAATGGGGTTATCGTTTTTGTTAGCAGTTTTCCCAAGCCAACCGCGCGACTCCAGCAAAAAAAAAAAAAAATGGAAACAAGTCGTCTTGCACTTTGATCGGTCATTCTGCGTTCCTACCTTGACTACAAAGAACGGAAATGTTAGGGTCTTAGAAAAGGCACTGTTTTTGGCTTATATGGTTTGGGGGTATAGCTTCCTGTTCGGTAATACGTATGTGCGTCCCCGCAAGTGGTCGAAAATTCAAAAAGACCAAAGTCAAAATAGGAAAATATACGGGATAAAAATATTAAACAAAAAGAAAAAAAGGAAAGGTTCTTTAAAAAAAAGGCGCAACGCCTATTTAACGCTGCTTTACCTTTGAATTCCCTAGGGAGCCTTTCCGCGATCGCACTCAAAGCTTTGTGATGTGAATGAACGCTTGGATGGCTTGCCATCTCGCGAGCCGTTGCTAAGTGATAACAAGTAACAGTTCTAAAAGGGCCTATTCGTCTCAGGAAAATCAGTGCAAAGTCTACAAAAATTTAAAAATATAATGATACCTGCTTTGAAACGGGACGAGGACGATGTCGGCAGTTATCTTCAGAAAGACACTGCAAAGTCCCTTTTTCACTTACAAAAAAAAAAGTTCCTACTCTAAACGAAAACAGCCATCGCTTTCATTTGTTTTTCACTACGACGCTTCGTCCTCCTAAATCTTTCGACAGACTGAGCAGTCAAACGACTGTTTAACAATGACAACAGACGGATCGAAATGCACCGATGACATTACGAGTCTTCATAGCCAATAACATCACGGCTTAACTGACATACGACCAATAAGATCAAGACTTAATTGACCAATCAGTTCAATATCCCGAGTTTAATACCTACAACTGACGTGATACAACTCACTTTGACTCTGAAGATGACTACCGCACAGGTTGTCGAAACCTCTGTCACTGTCAACAACAACAACAACAACAACAGTCCTATTCAGGACTTCGTTCACCCGGACGATCATCCATGTACTCAACCGTTAACTTATAAAATGACTCCTGGGTCATGATATGATAAAGAAATGATGTATCTGGCTGTGATGTTTCAACTTTGAATAATCAATACTATATACAAAGCTCGCAACCTAAGCGACCCAAAGAATCCCTCTCGCAATTTTCCTAATCCATTTTTCTCTTTATTTGCGCTGGACATTATATAATTTACATTTTTTTCCTATAATAGTGCGCGCACAAACGTGCCTTAAAACACTCATAAAGTCTTGCACCTTTACTATCGATTACGAGTACTATTTAAGTAAACTACAGTATAGTTATCATAATGCAATATAGTCAATTTTACTTTATATTCACTTCGCTATCGCCCTTAAACATTTTGAAGTGTTATACAGCTGGAAATTTGTTTCTTACAGCGCGCACCCTCATTGGTTACTTCGAGGTCACATCGCATCTAACAATGAAACTGTTTCCCGCCAAAATCTCTGAGCGGGCAACGTTGCAAATCTATGACGTCAAGGGTAACAGTGCACTGTTACTCGCGAATAGGGAGCTTAAGCAGCGACGACGCGGACGGCAACGAGAACGGCAAAAAAGCAACAGGCTTGATTAGCAAAACAACAACTTTGCACGTGCATCACGCTTTTTTTGTACATTTCTTTGCCGTCGTTGCCCGACTACAACGTGAAAGTGTCTGACTTCACGTTTTGTCGAGGACGGGAACACAAGACAACAATGCAACTTTATTTTCTTTTCCTGAACTTTGATACAGTCCTTTAGAATTCAACTCCAAAAACATTTGCCAACATTTGACGAAGTAAACGAGATGGAATAAGCGCGATAAAGTTTGAAGCGGTGCGAATTCACTTTTTAAGTGACGTTTTCGTAGCCGTCGGCGTCGTTGTTGCTTAAGCTCCCTAAGGTTGATCGACGACTGCTGTTACAGCGAGGTTTAAAGAATGTTTTCCAGCTTCAACATTTTCAGCCGTATAACAGATTACTTAAAGACTGTTCCCTCGAAAAACAGTAAATTTTGCTTCCCTCGGGAACAGTTATTAAGTGTTTAATATTGTTGTATGATGCCAAAAATCACTAGAAGTCATAAACTATAACAAAAGGTATTGGATGATGATCAATAACACCCCACACCCGGTAGTAAATGTACTGCCTCGTACGCAGGCTTTTTTCAACGTTCTGCATAGCGCAGTCCTGGGCCTGAGTGGAGAATAATGGGAACGAGCAATAGCAAGGGGTAATGGGAAGGCAAAATATTTTTTTTTCTTCCCTTTCCGTTTCCTCCTTTGTCTCGCTTTACTTGATAATCAAATAACTATCGCGAGCGACTGCTATCAAAAATTATAATATTTCCAAACAATTTAAGTTAATTAAGGTGTTTCGATGCAGTTTTCGGGAGACCATAACGATATTTTTCAATTGCCTTAACAGTTATTTAATGTCCTTGTCCTTCACCAGTGATTGACTATGAAATGGAGTTTGTCAAAATACAGTTTCAAGTGTAGTCGATATCACTATGACGACAATTAACAAAAAAGTCTGAAATCTATAAAGGCCGAAGTTTGAGTGATCTAGACCTGCTACTAAAAATCCGACACAAGGAACGTTAAGGTTTGGCGTTTAGTGAATAGCCTGCGTGAGAAATAAAACAATTGTGTACGTTTGAATTCAAATTAAAGTTAGTATATTTCAAACCAAATACATTTCAAACCAAACCCTTTAATAACCCTGACTTGTTATTGAATTCAAAAGTTCCAAATAACTCAAATTAATCTTAAGTAGAATTCGCTGCTTAGAAACTTTGGTGTATTTTCTTTCTTGCAATCCTCAAAACTAACCTGCTTTCTCGGTGCATTTCAGTGTGAATAAAACTGCATCGAAACACATTAAGTGATGAAAATGCAAAATGACATCAGATGAATATCTGATGGCATGAACTAAATACTGTGGCAAGTTATATTGGATAATTATCATAAAAGTACAAAATGTTGGGATAATATAATGGAAATATATGGCAATTAACGTTACGTATAGGAATTAATAAATTGCATTGAAATATGTGCTAAACTATATATTAAAAATCTAGTAACTACACCAAAGTCAATGACAAACGCTAGCAGGGACAATTCTATCCTGAGATTTCAACCCTTTGCGTTACGTCTGCAAATACAGATGTAGAATGAGAGTTGACAAGAAGGCAATACAAAATCTACCCTCAAAACGTGGGACAGGAACGCGCGACGAAGCCCCATAAACCATCCTATGCCCCTTGTTGAAGAGGCTCGACTATTGCACTTTGTGTCTTATCTTTTTAATGCAGTGTATTTCTTCTTAAAGTGCCCATAAACGAAACATATTTGTTTTAATTAAAAGTACTTCTCACTACGAAAACATTTTTATTTTTTAATTAAAAGTACGCATTACTACGAGGGCCTCCCCGAAAAAAAATCACATGTTTTGCCATCTGAGTAGCCTGAAATTCATCCGATTGCTTCGAGTCGTTTTCTCCTCTCAACAACGTCTGAATCGACCGGCCGTTAATGCCGTCCAGTGACGTCACTCACTACCCGAAAACCGGGTAGTGATTTTGATTAGTTGATTGTTCAAACATTCGCATAATTATGTATAATTATGAAAAATTTTAGCGGGATTGTCATTTGATATTCAGCCGATCGCATCCCTGGCATTCGTTCGGTTTGTTCAAACATTTCTATAAGCTTAATCTTTATCTTAAACAGCCAAATTGCCCTTGTCTTCGAAACTGAAACGCTAAATTGAACTGCGAATGAAGAATCTGAAGAATCATCGCGAGGAGTCGGTAGGTTTTTCATTCAGAGCCGCTTTGTGGTTTCGGCGGCCGGTGATTTTGTTTACGTGAAGTTTTCTGAGATCAATTGCTATTTTTACCGTCAAGTGTGATGATTCTGTTAGCTTTTCTTTCTTGTCTCCTTGTTTTTTTTCTTCGTTAAGGACCAAATAGCTTCTTTTCAATTAAAGCAAAGCACTGTGTTTTTGAACTAAGTGTTCCGTGTGTGTGCTTATTTCATTGCGTGATTGCGACCGAGTTTGTTTTTCGAATTTAGTACAACCGGTTCAGAGTTGTACCGCATGCAGTTGATAGTTTGAACGTTAAACATGAATTACAATCGAAAAAAATAAAGCAGTTCTGTATCATGCAGACATTTCCAAACGATATTTCTCGGTTTGCCACTTGAAAATCGTGTTTTGCTTTTTGCATGAATTAAAGCAAATGTCAAGGAGTAGTGACGTCACTGGACGGCATTAACGGCCGGTCGATTCAGACGTTACTGAGGGAGTAATAACGACTCGAAGTAATCGGATGAAATTCAGGCTACCATCTGAGCAGAATGTGATTTTTTGAATGTGATAGTTCAAATTTACCGCTATTCTGGCACATCATGAATTAGTCTTCTTTCGGAAACCTCCCGGAAACAAAGGAGTTGTGACGTAGATCAAATAAAACTGTGTCGTAAATGATTGAACACTTGACTTTACATACAAGTAAACAAGTGTAGAGTTCTCACCAGAAAAATTTCTTTCTTCAACGGAAACTGCTTTTAAAGGGTAAAACATGCTAGTAGGATGCGTCGCAATGAGATTTGCAGCAACATTGGCCATGGCGACGTAGAAAGCATGCACTCTCTGGCACACAGGGTTTCCATTGTATAGTCGTTTTTTACTTATGATTTATAGAACAGAATTATAGAACAGACCGTTTATTTTTTGTTTTTGTTTTCACGTTTGTGAGCATTTGTTTAGTTACTCGAGCGATTACAGTGTTGTAACAAGCAGTGCATGCTACTTTTAGCCTTGATAAAGTTGATCGGCGACAGTTGTCTGAGCAAGGAAAGTGTCTGGAAACGTGCATTACTAAATCCGGAGCCTGTATCCTAAAC